TCTGCGTGGAGCACTGGGTGTTATGCACAAACAATGAATCATGGAACACTACATCAAGAACTAATGATGTAATATATTGTGATTGACATAACAATAAAAAATTTAAAAAAAAACCATATGCTCTGAACAGCTTCATAACCTGATACATTACCTAACTTTTTTATAATTAAGTTTCTTGACCTGTCAAAATTAAAATAATAATGGATCTATCTCATAAGGTTATTGTGTAAATAAAGTTAAGATAATGCAAATAAATGCTGAGAATTATTTAAGAAAAAAAATTTAATGGGTCACTATAAAAAAATAAGTGGTTTAGCTGCTCTACCAACTCCTAATATGGATTGCACAAAGACCACAATGAATTTTTTTTAAAATGATAACACAAAGGAAGAATCTAGAGTCCCTTAAAAAATGGTGCCAATTAAATTAAAGGAGATGTTATAATTTTGAATGGCAGGATGGCTTAGGATCTCTTAGTACAACCCCAGCAGTGGACCCAAGTCTATTTGCCTTGTCCAGTTATGGGGAAGAAACTTTACTGGAATTGCTAGACACTGGTGCATAAAATAATGTCATAACTAAACCTGCTAATCAAAACTTAAAGGTCAATAGAATTATGTTAGGAAGATATGGTGATACAGCTTTAAGACCTCAAAGTACAAGTAGGATAAAAGTAAGAATTTAAGAACAAATGTTATTTAAAAATTTAAGAAGAAATATTGCTGTATATTTCCAGAGTATATTATTTTAATGGGAGTGTTTAAATGGGAGACTCTATCCTTTTCCAAACCATTGGAAAATGGATGTTATTCAAATCTGCTCTTTGTTCTGTTTTAATATTTATGCCAGATAGGAACCTTTAAAATTACCTAACACCCTAGTGGTTAATTTAAATCAATATCGTATAGCTTGAGAAGAATCAAGAAATTTCAGCTTTAGGGGCACCTGGGTGGCTCAGTCTGTTAAGCATCTGCCTTCAGCTTGAGTCATTATCCCAGGGTTCTGGGATCCAGCCCGCATGGGGCTCTCTGCTCAGTGGGGAGCCTGCTTCTCCCTCTCCCTCTGCCTACTGCTCTGCCTACTTGTGCACTCTCTCTCTCTGTCAAATAAATTAAAAAAAAATTCAGCTTTAATGAAAGATATATTACATGCAAATCTGTAAGTACCCACAAATTATTTAATAGTCCAGTATGGCCTTGGAGAAACGGTGATGAATCCAGGGTTTTTTTTTTTTTTTCATTTTTAAAAAATAAAGTTAATTAGATCATAATGTTGTCTGAATTTACCACCTGTGTCAAAAGCCAACTCAAAGCTTCCAATGTAGTCTATAATTCCTTAATCAAAGTCAGCAATTTAGGGACAGCTTCAGCATCTATAGTCGACCTTTCACTAGCCAGGCAAACTTCCCGAAATAATCGCAGTGATTGAATGATCTTCTCAAATTCTCTTGCTTTTCTATGTCCCTTTTGAATAACCTCCTCTGGAAGATTACCAAGCCTCGCTGCATTAAAGCCATAGCTTTTAGGACAAGCTCCCTTAATGAATTTATAGAGGAAGGTAATAGTCTCCTGGCTGGGATCCTCACATTCATTTTCTACCATGCATGCCATGTGGCCCAGGCGCACTGCAACATTTTGGGAATAATCTTCCACTAATGAATGGTAGTGGGTAGAAAACAATGTACGACACTTTATGTTCTCAGCAAGTTCTTTGACAACGCATTTGCTATTGCTGTTCCATCAAATGTTGCAGTACCTCTTCCTAATTCATCCACAAGCACCAGAAAATGTGCTGTTGCATGCGTAACTATACTGGCAGTTTCACTCAGTTCAACAAAAAACGTACTTTCACCTGACATTATTCTGTCGGAGGCACCAAGTCTAGTAAATACTCTATCAATTGGTGTGAGTCTACACACTTCAGCAGGTATGTAACAACCTGTTTGGGCCATTACAGCTAATAGGCCAGCATGTCTCATGAGTGTAGACTTGCCCCCCATGTTAGGTCCAGTCACAAGCACACAATAAGCTTTGCCATTTTCCTCCTCTGCCCCTTCCTCACAGCTTATTAGAATGTCATTAGGTATAAAGTCATCTCCAAAAAAAGTCTTCGTAATGCAGGGATGACATGATCCTCTAAGGTCTAAGAAGGGAGGAGTGCCTTCTTCTGGCAACAGAATTACTGGACGACACATAGGGCCTCGACTGTAGTCAGCCAGGCACAATAAGACATCCAATACTGCGATGCACTCATATAGAACAACATGGAAGTTTGCCTTCAATAGCATCAGTTTTGTCCATTATGGTATTAATTCAAACTATGAAAGAAACTAAGAGAGATTGATATTCTGTGTTCAGAGGATCAGTATTCTGTGTTCAATCTGGCTAATGCTTACTTTTCAATAACTATTTCAAAAAACTCTTTAAAAAGAAGAAAATTGGGGGAAAAAGCTAGAACCAATGTGCAATCATGTGAGACAAACTCTAATATACATTTAGAGTTTATAATATTGTGCTTTCACAGGAATATTTAAATTTTCCTCCCTGTTGCCAGAGTCTTTAGAGAGGAAATGTATACTTAATTAATTTGGAAGTAGTAATATATTATTTTGAGGATATATGTTCATTCACAATCTGAAGATCAAGCTAATATTAAATTACAGATTCTGATTAATCATATGACCTCCAGTGTATAGATGATTAATCTGACTATGGCACATTTCCCAACAAAAATGGGAAAATTCTTAGGAAACTTCAATTAGCAAATCAAATCCAACAACGTATAAAAAGAATTATCCATCATGATCAAGTCATATTTATCCTAGGTATGGAGGACTGGTTCAAGATTAGAAAAACAATTAATATAATCCATCATATAAACAGACTAAAAAAAAAAGTCATATGATCAAATCAATAGATACAGAAAACTTTTGACAAAATCTAACAATCATGAGAAAAATTCTCAGTGAAATAAGAATAGAAGTGTGCCTGGGCAGCTCAGTCAGTAAGTGTCTGCCTTTGGGGTCTTGGGATCAAGTCCCACATCAGGCTCCCTGCCTGTTTCTCCCTCTTCCCTCACCCTGCTTGTGCTCTCTCTCGGACTCTCTCTCTCTCAAATAAATAAATAAAATCTAAAAAAAAAAAAAAAAGAATAGAAGATAGTTGTCTCAGCTGCAGAAAGAATGTATACCAAAAAACTGCAGCTAATATAATGGTGATAAACTTAAAGCTGACCTATTAAAATCACATACAATGCAAGGGTGACCCCTCTCACCAATTCTTTACAACATCATACTAGAAGTCCTTGTTAATGCACTAAGTCAAGAAAGGAAATAAAAGTTATGCAGATTGGGATGAAAGAAATAACTGTTTTTGTAGATATGATCATCTATGTAGAAAATCCAAAAGAATCAACAAAAAAATTCCTGGAGCTAAAAAGGGATTATAGCAATGTTGCAGGATACAAGATTGATATACAAAAGTCAATCACTTTGCTATATATCTACAACAAACAAATGGAATTTGAAATTAAAAATACAAAACCATTTAAATTCTAGTTAGTTAATATATAGTGTAATATTAGTTTCAAGAGTAGAATTAGTGATTCATTTCTTACATATAACACCCAGTTATATGGGTGCTATATGTAAGTGCTCATCACAACAAGTGCCTTCCTTAATTACCCATCACCCATTTAGCCATCCCCCAACTACCTCCCTTCCAACAACCCTCAATTTGTTCTCTGTAGCTGAGAGCCTCTTTTATGGTTTTCCTCCCTCCTTTTCTCTTTTCCCATGTTCGTCTGGTTTGTTTCTTAAATTCCACATGAGTGAAATCACAGTATTTGTCTTTCTTTGACTGACTTATTTCACTTAGCATAATACTGTCTAGTTCCATCCAAGTCATTACAAATGGTAAGATTTCATTCTTTTTGATGGCTGAATAATATTCCATTACATACCTATACATTATCTCTTCTTTACCCATTCATCAGTGGATAGAAATTTGGACTCTTTCCATAATTTGGCTATTGTTGAGAATACTGCTATAAACATCATGGTGCACGTGCCCCTTTGAATCAATATTTTTGTATCCTTTGGGTAAATACCTACTAGTGCAATTGCTGGGTTGTAGGGTAGTTCTATTTTTGAATCAATATTTTTGTATCCTTTGGGTAAATACCTAGGAGTGCAGTTGCTGGGTTGTAGGGTAGTTCTATTTTTAATTTTTTGTGGAACCTCCATACTTTTTCCAGAGGGGCTGCACCAGTTTGTATTCCCACCAAGGGTATAAGAGGGTTCCCCTTTTTCCTCATCCTCACCAACAACTGTTGTTAATTTTAGCCATTCTGACAGTTGTGAGGTGGTATCTCATTGTGGTTTTGATTTATATTTCCCCAATGACTCATGTTAAGCAGTTTTTCATGTGTCTGCTAGCCATTTGGACGTTTTCTTTGGAAAAATTTCTATTCATGTCTTTTGTCCATTTCTTAACTGGATTATTTTTTGGGGGGGTATTGAGTTTGATAATTTCTTTATAGATTTTGGATATTAACACTTTATCAGATATGTCATTTGCAAATATCTTCTCCCATTCTGAAGGTTGCCTTTTAGTTTTGTTGATTGTTTCTTTCACTGTGCAGAAGCTTTTTATCTTGATGAAGTCCCAATAGTTCATTTTTGCCTTTGTTTCCCTTGCCTCAGGAGACATGTTTAGTAAGAAGTTGCCAAGGCCAATGTCAAAGAGGTTGTTGTTTGTGTTCTCTAAGATTTTGATAGTTTTCTGTCTTATATTTAGGTCTTTCATCCATTTTGAATTTATTTTTGTATATGGCATAAGAAAGCAGTTCATTTTCATTCCTCTGCATGTTTCTGTCCAGTTTTCCCAACAGCATTTGTTGAAGAGACTGTCTTTTTTTCTTTGGATATTTTTTTTCTGCCTGTTGAAGATTAGTTGACCACAGAATTGAGGGTCCATTTCTGGGTTTTCTATTCTGTCCCATTGATCTATGTGTCTGTTTTTGTGCTTGTACCATACTGTCCTGATGACTACAGCTTTGTAATACAGGTGGAAGATTCAGAATTGTCATGCCTCCAGCTTTGCTTTTCTTTTTCAAGATTGCTTTGGTGATTCAGGATCTTTTGCAGTTCCACACAAATTTTAAGATTGTTTGATCTATCTCTGTGAAAAATGCTATTGGTATTTTGATAAGGGATAGCACTAAATGTGTAAATTGTTTGGGGAGTATAGACATTTTAACAATATTTGTTCTTCCAATCCATGAGCATGTTTTGTTTTGTTGATTGTTTACTGCACAGGAATGTTTTTCCATTTCTTTGTGTCTTCCTCAATTTCTTTAATAATTGTTATATACTTTTCTTTTTTTTTTTAGATTATTTATTTATTTGAGAGAGAGAATGAGAGATAGAGAGCATGAGAGGGGGGAGGGTCAGAGGGAGAAGCAGACTCCCCGCCGAGCAGGGAGCCCGATGTGGGCCTTGATCCCGGGACTCCAGGATCATGACCTGAGCTGAAGGCAGTCGCTTAACCGTCTGAGCCACCCTGGCGCCCTGTTATATACTTTTCACAGTACAGATCTTTTACCTCTTTGTTTAGGTTTATTCTTAGGTATCTTATGGTTTTTGATCCAATTGTAAATGGAATTGATTCCTTCATTTCTCTTTCTGCTGCTTCATTATTGGTATATAAAAATGCAACAGATTTCTGTATGTCGATTTTGTATTCTGCAAATTTACTGAATTCATTTATCAGTTCTAGTAATTTTTTGGTGGAGTCTTTTGGGTTTTCTACATAGAGTATCATGTCATCATAGCATCATAGTGTATCATATTTGACTTCTTCCTTGACAATTTGGATGCCTTTTATTTCTTTTTGTTGTCTGATTTCTGAGGTGGGGACTTCCATTACTATGTTAAATAACAATGGTGATAGTTGGCATTCCTGTTTTGTTCCTGAACATAGAGAAAAAGCTCTCAGTTTTTCCCCATTGAGGATGATATTAGCATCTTTCGTATATAGCCTTTATGATGTTGAGGTATGTTCCCTCTATCCGTACTTTGTTGAGGGTTTTTATCAAGAATGGGTGTTGTACTTTGTCAAATGTTTTCTCTGCATATACTGAGAGGATCGTATGGTTCTTTTACTTTCTTTTATTAATTTTATTAATGTGGTGTGTCATGTTGATTAATTTGTGAATACCAAACCACTCTTTCAGCCCAGGAATAAATTCCACTTGATTGCCGTGAATGATTCTCTTAATGTACTGCTGGATTCAATTTGCTAGTTTTTTTTTTTTTTTTTTGAGAACTTTTCCATCCATGTTCATTAGGGATATTGGCCTGTAATTCTTTTTAGTGGGCTCCTTGTCTGGTTTTGGAATCAGGGTAATTCTGGCCTTGTAAAATGAGTTTGGAAGCTTTCTTTCTATTTCTATTTTTTTGGAACAGTTTGAGAAGAATAGGTATTAATTCTTCTTTAAATGTTTGGTAGAATTCCCCTGGGAAGCCATATGGTTCTGGACTTTTGTTTGTTGGGAGATTTTTGATTCCTGCTTCAATTTTTTTGCTGGCTATGGGTCTGTTTAAATTTTCCATTTCTTCATGCTTCAGTTTCAATTTATAATGTTCCTAAGAATTTACGCATTTCTTCCAGATTGTCCAATTTGTTTGCATATATTTTTCATAATATTCTCTTATAATTGTATTTGTGTGGTGTTGGTTGTGCTCTTTCTCATTTGTGATTTATTTGGCTCCTTTCCCTTTCCTTTTTGATAAATCTGGCTAGGGGTTTATTAATGTTATTAATTATTTCAAAGAACCAGCTTCTAGATTCATTGATCTGTTCTGTTTTGTTATTGTTGTTTTTTCTTTATCTTTTATTTCTGCTCTAATCTTTTTTATTTCCCTTCTTCTGGGGGCTTTAGGCTTCATTTGCTGTTCTTTTTTTTTTAGCTTTTTTAGGTGTCAAGTTAGGTTTGTGTATTTGAGATTTTTCTTGCATCTTGAAGTAGGCTGTATTGCTATATACTTCCCTCTTATGACTATTTTTGCTGTATCTCAAAGGTTTTAGACCATCACATTTTCATTTTCATTTATTTCCATGTATTTTTAAAAATTTCTTCTTTGATTTCCAGGTTAACCCATTCACTCTTTAGTAGGATGTTCTTTAACCTCTATTTATTCGTGGTCTTTCCAAATTTTTTCTTGTGGCTGACTTCATGTTTTGTAGAGTTGTGGTCAGAAAATATGCATGTTATGATCTCAATCTT